CATATCATTCATTCGCATAACTTTTTTACAAGTATAATTTGTTAACACAAAGTCTCACGTATTAACTCGACAGGTGGTCAAATCTCGTTTGAGGATCAACGTTTGCTTTTTTCCTTTTTTTTTTTTCCAAGAATAAGTTAAGGAAAAATGTGTGGAGGGTGTAATGGTGGATGTAATATATTTTAATTGACGGAAAATACATATCTCGTTATTTCTTATAGTTTTTTTTTCCGCGTAATAAATCAATCGACTTCAGGTGTATTCACATACAATCCTTCGATTAATGTTCATTAAATTGCGTTGCATTGAAATGCAACAAGACTCGTTAATCGTTTACCGTGATTTTCCATCGATCACCAATCGGTGTATTCAACTTTTCAAAATCATATTTTATATTTTTCTTATCGATAATATATTCGAATTTGTATCGAAATAAAATGAAAATAATATCTTCTTCACTATACAATTAATTAAAATCTCATACACATACGTATACATGACGGTGAGATGATTGATTTATTATTAACAATATCTTTGTGTTACTTTAAACAAACAAAATATTCGTAGAAAAGTACGAGTCACACGAATTTAACACTTCCACCAATCAGATAAATTTTTTTATAACGTTTCAAATATTCCATATTACTTTTTTTATTTTATTTCATTTAAAGAGTCATCGATTAAACCAATCGAATTTTCATTTACAATTTGTACAATTCTAAAAAAAACGTTCTATATAACGAGAATATTAAGATAATAATAATAATAATAATAATAATAATCATTGGCAAACGTAGAGAGATATATAATCATATACACTTACTTAATCTGTTCTGTAAGATCTTAATCACCGGTGTAATTGAAGATTACATTCGAGAAAATAGGTTAACGTCTCTTCTTATCGAACCACGGGGAAGTACTTGAAAAGTCGTTACAATTATGATCTTGATGATGTATGACACTTGATTCGAAAACTATCAACTCGAGAAATAATATCAGAGTACAACTTCTTATTCTTTATTATTATCATACATATATATATGTATATATAATTACATATTAATACACATACACACGTAGACGCGTACAATGTGCAATAATCCGTAAGTTACATAATCGTTTTAGGTGTTTCTAAGCTGTCCTAATTTGTTCCTTACGCCAACGTAAAATCATTCTTATAAGATTACGTTAGCACGTTAGCTATAATCAATCATTATTAAAGAAAGAAAAAAAAATATATATATATATATAATGAAGGAAAAGAAGATTTCGTTCCTTTGGAATTTTTTTTTTTTTATCCAATTATTCTTACAGAGTAATTATTTCCAATTAGCTTAAGTTTTTTCACGGAAATCTAATCGTAATGCAAATATATATATGTATGTGTATATGTGTGTGTGTATATATGTGATACTTGCATCAAATCAGAATGCATTCAACGTCAAATAACACCTTACGAATGTTTTACGAATGTAAAATTAACACCTTATCGTACATTCTCGTTGCATCAGCATGACACTGTATATATATATACCGAGTGTTTCAAAATATATGTTATAATTTAAAGAAGGGTAATTTAAGTAAATTCAAAGCAAATAGTATTTTTTTTTTTTTTTGGAGAAAAAAACAAACTCACGGGCAATAGATTTTAGTTTAAAGGGAGGAGGGGGGAAGAGAGGAAGAAGAAGAATATTCAACAGGATTCACACATCTGTATTCGTCCTAGATAATTTTCCACGGGGTCGATCGATGAAAGAATATATAAAAAGGAACGCTTGCAGGTAATTTTTATCATATTTTTTGCTTTCGCATTTAACGAATATCATTTTTTATTGAGGATTTAATATATTATTTATATTTTTTATAAATTATTATTTATATTGTTCATTTAAACCGATGTAAATAATAATTATCGAAAGTTTAGATAAAAATGAATCATTCTTCTTTTATAAGCGGAACACACAAAGGTTGATAACTGTAAACTGATACGATTTGAACAATGAACTGTTTTATTTAAACATCGATGCATTCACGTGATTGATTCGCGTGACTTATCGTCTCGTATCAATACAACACTTATCGACGTAAATTCGAATTTTGTTACGTTATTATACGCGTACGAGGAGAACCCACACACATACATAAACGCATACAAACACGTCCGATATATGATTTGCATAGTAAATTCATAAGGCAAATTAATGAACTCTGATCTGAGTTAATTTCGTAACAATAATCATAATGAATTTTATTGATCCATCAAACGATTCTCCCATTCTTTTCCATTCTCTTTCTATTATTTGTTCTCTTTCAATATCTCCCATAATATGTTCTGCTATTATTTTAAACAAAAAAAAACCCAAATTAAGATTC